TGTGGCCGTCTACTTTATACTTTATGCTTCCTTTCCATCTCCTGTCTCTTACCATAAACTTGATATTGAGCTTTCCGAAATACAGTTCATCGTAGAATGTTGCTGCTGGGCTTATTTTTAGCTAGGATATATCGATAAGCGGTGGGTCTCCATTCTTTCTTGAACTCTGCCGAGCTTGATCGTCTCCGATTCTTCCTCTTTCGACACAGCTTGCTCTCTTGTTGATGCACTGATGGAAATCTGTTAATCTTGGTATAAAAAATATACCACCTTACTATCGCAATTATATCCTTCTTTTTTCTTCTTGCTTCTGCCCTCGCCCAGGTCCGTGGGACCTAACGATCGAGCTCCAAAGCAGGATGTTTGAGGACGATATCTATCGCACCTCATCACAGTATAAACTTTGGTCTTTCACGGAGGCGTCCTTACGGTCCTTAAGGGAGAACACAAATGCTGTCGCTAGCCAACGAGTCCGAGCGGCACTGCGGAGAGCGCGGGAGGCGCGACAGTCAGCCAACTCGTCAGCTGCGGGGACTCCTACAGCTGGGACTACTGCAGATAGCAAGGGAGCGGAAGAGAAGGACATTGACTGTTTGACACCAGAAGAAGAGAAGGAGCTAGTGAGGTTCTATTGCGAGAAGGCCGTGGAGCTGGCGGACACATATAAGCCACCCTTGCCGACGACAGTGCGGGTGCGTACCCCGTCTGATGTTGAAGCGCATAACCGCGAATGGACATATAACTAACGTCGCACGTCTCTCTCTAACAGGCCACTTCGATTCAGTACATCCGTCGATTCTACCTCAGCAACTCGCCAATGACCTACTCTCCCAAGACTATCATGCCCTGCGCGCTCTTCCTTGCTACCAAGACGGACAATTTCTACATGTCCCTGCGCCAGTTCGCCGAAAAGGTCCCAGGCGACACAACTGCAGAAGACATCATCGCGCCAGAATTCCTCATCATGCAAAGCCTCCGCTTCACCTTCGACGTCCGCCACCCCTTCCGCGGCCTCGAAGGCGGCGTCATGGAACTCCAAGCCATGGCCGAAGGCCTGGGCCAGCCAGCGCCTCACCTCCCTCACCAGACATCAGAAGACCTACGCCGCGGAATCCTCGCCGTCCCCGCCGCACCAAACGCTCTCCAGTCCTCCTCAATCACCGACCGGATCGCCCGCGCCCACACCACAACCCGCGAACTCCTCAAAACCGCCGCCCAAATGACAGACGCCTACTTCCTCTACACCCCCTCACAGATCTGGCTGGCGGCCTTCATGCTCGCCGATCGCCCCATGGCTGAATACTACCTCGACACAAAACTCGGCGGGCCAGCCGCTCAGAGCTCCAACGCACAAGCGGGGAACCTGCTCTACGACCTCCGTGTGAAACTCTTCCGCACACTCAACGAGTGCGCTGCCCTCCTGCAATCATACAAGCCCCTCAACTCCGACCCAGAGCAGATGAAGAACCTCAAACGCATCGGAAAGAAGTTCTACTACTGTCAGAACCCGGAGAAGATCTCCCTTGCCGGACAGAAGCGGATCCCTGCTGCTGCTGCTGCCGCCGTCGCCGCATCGGCAGGCGAAGGCGCCACCTCGGAAAGTGAAGTCGAGCGGCAGGCGAAGAAGCGGAAGCTGGAGCGGGAGCAGAGGGATCGGGAGGCGAGAGATATCTTTGGCGGGGAGCTGGTGGCGCAACGGGTCAAGGAGGGGCCAGTTGGCGAGCAACAGCATTCATCGTAGAGCTAATGTGGTCAGAAAACTGATCTATACCTATCTCTTCGAATAGATTTCGGTAGTGGAACAACCGCAGCCTAATTAGTCAATGTACTCTATTGTCAATGATCTAATTTCCAAGAGAAGATGAATCGAGGTCAGTAAACCTCACTCCGTACACTATATCAGGTCCGGTATATAATCAAGACTATCAGGAGGCTCATGTGCATGGATAGATATAATAGTCAATCATCGGCCAGAGTTACAAAGATGACCGACTGGATTTGGCAAGACTATATGAAGTGTCTATAACAGGTATCATGGGAATGATGATGAAAGAGTAAGGAACATGGAATTCAGCCATCACGCTCGGCTCAGCTCAGCTCTAGTAGGAGGATGAGAGGTATGAAAACGGACCATCTAAAAGGCGCACCCAAACAATGAGAGAGTAAAAAAGCAGAAGAATATCTCCAACAAAAATATGTAAAGAAAAAACGCAAGCCAGTACTGTATGACTGGCTCCAGGATACGTCATCACTCCTGGAAGAAAAACTTTTTTTCCTTCCCTGCGGCACTTTTGGGGGGTCATCTCTAAACGTTCCAATCGTAACAAAAATGCAGAGACGGAATGCGCTTTAGACAGCACCCTCGGAGACCATCTTCCTGCGCAGGTGGTCCTTGTACTCGCCAATACTGCCGTCCCAGCGGCGGATGGTCTTGTTCTCGCACACCATGATGTCCTTGGCGATCTTGTCGAGAAGACGGAAGTCGTGGGACACGACGACGACACCACCGCTGAAGGCATTGATGGCATCTGCCAAACTGTCGATGGTGGGGATATCGAGACCGTTGGTAGGCTCGTCGAGCAGAATCATGTTGGGGCTCTCGATGGCCAGCAGAGCGAAGACGATACGACTCTTCTGACCTTCGGACAAAGTACCCATGAGGGCAGTCTGGGATTCACCGCTCAGACCATAGCGACCGAGCTGCTGACGCCAGTATTGGTAGTCCTGACTCTTCTCGGGGAACTTGTCGCGAACGAAGTCCAGAGCGGACTTGGTCAAGTCCAGCTGTTCAGCCGAGTGCTGACTGTACATGCCGAGCTTCAAGTGAGTGTGACGGCTGACACGACCGGCAATGGGCTGGAGCTTTCCGGTCATGAGCCGGAGGAGAGTAGACTTGCCGACACCGTTAGGGCCGACCAGCGCAGTTCGGGAGTCCATGTCGACACCAAGATCAAGGTGCTCGTACAGGGTGTCGTCCCAGTTGCCAGAGTAAGAGAACGAAACATCATCGAAGGACAGAACCGGAGGGGGAAGCTTCTCGACTTCAGCGAAACGGAAGGAGAAGACTCTGTCGGGGATAACGGGTTGAATGAAGCCTTCAGCCTCCATCTTGTCAAGAATCTTCTGACGAGACTTGGCCTGTCTGACCAAGTTGGCGTAGGTACCGGCGGAAGCAATGAACTTCTTGATGTGGGCGATTTCCTCCTGCTGCTTGTTGTAGGCCTTCATCTGGTTGGTCTCCTGTTCGCTGCGAGTCTTGTGGTACGAATCGTAGTTACCACCGTAGTAGAGGAGCTGCTTCATGCGCATGTCGATCATGGTGGTGCAGACACCGTTCAAGAAATCCTGAGAGTGAGAAACAAGCACCAGAGTGCGCTCCCACTTCTTCAAGTACTCTTCCAGCCACACACAGGCCTCGAGATCCAAGTGAGCGGTGGGGTCGTCCAGCAACAGAAGAGAAGGCTTGACGAACAGGGCCTTGGCAAGGGCCACACGCATACGCCAACCACCGGACATGTCCTTGGTCTTCTTGTGGATGGTCTGCTTGTTGAAACCGAGACCGGTCAAAATCAAGGAGGCACGAGTGTGGAAGGTGGAAGGATCCATTTTGTCCATGCGCTGCTTCATATTAGAACATGATATTGCTATGTAGGGGCAAGTCAAAAGAACTTACGTCGTACAGATCTTCCAGGATAGGGCTCTCGGGACCATCCTTTTCCAGAATCTCCTCGGCCTGCTTCTCCATGCGGTCCAGTTGGTTCTGCGCCTCAGTAACGACCCATTCCAGGGCACCAAGGTCGCTGGGAGGAGCACCCTCATTCAGAAGGTAGATATCGATGTGCTCGGGGATGGGATACTCGCGAGTGGCGATAGCTTTGAGCAGAGTGGACTTTCCACATCCGTTCTCACCGAGCAGACCATAACGACGACCGAAGTTGAGTTCGAGAGTGGAGTCGGTGATGAGGACCTTGCCGTGAAACACGAGGGAAGCGGAGGTAATCTTGACGTCGCGAGAGGAAGCCATCGAGGACAGAACACCGGTGGTGACACGGTCGGACAGACCGTGCTTATCCATTTGTGCGGTGAGCTTCTCGACTTCCTTCATCTTCTCCTCGGTGGTAGCGGGCTGATCTTCGGTAGGGAGAGGTTCGCCATCGGCGTCAACCAAAGGGCTTTCATCACCCTTCTTCGACTTGACGGTCTTCTTCTTATCGCCATCGGCGGCACGCTTGGCGAGACGAGCGGCTTTGGAAGCAGACACCATTTTGGCGGTATGTATGGGGGAAGGTGATAGGGTGGGAGGTAAAGGGAGAGGACAGGTAAAAGGTCAAAAGTCTGCCTAGGGTCGTGAACGCAAGTGAAAAAAAGGCTCGACGAAAGTGGATCGATAGCGGGGAGAAAGGAGAAAATAGGTAGAGAGGGGCGACCGAAAGCCTTTCAGGTGGGGTGTTTTTCGAAATCCAAGAATGAATCCTTGACCTTCTATTAGAAGCCCTTATCGATAATCTTCGGGAGGCGAATCCTCAGCCGCTACTCGTAGTGGGACTCGAAACTCGAACTGGGTTAGATTCGAGATAAGTAGAATGTTATATAGTATTGAGAAGCTAGTCTCAATGAACGAGAGGCCTGATGGCGACAAACTATGGAGACCAATGCCCAAGAAGATGTTGGAAGGGATAAAGAAGTCTTTAGATACCTTACCCTGTGGCCGTCAATCGAAAATTCGTTCAGTGGGACTGGTCCTCATTGGTCAAACGACGTCACTGCACGGTACGTGGCGCGGCCATGCCTGATTGGGCAGCTTTCAGACACGTGATTTTAGCCTTAAGCCCAAGGCATTAACAGCCTCCAGCTCCAGCCTCTATCCAAGTGAGTGATATTGATGGGATGTATGAAAGAAAGTTCGACATGTTCAAACAGAGGCTAAGCATCATGTGTAACTTTTCATTATATCTCTCTAGCGCTGCTCTCTATATGCTGAAAGCTAGGCACAAGTAGATCTATTGTATTCGTTGACAAACCCTCTCCAGCACCTCCCTTTCTTCCGCGCTGATCCAGAGGTTGTCAGGCATCAATACTTCACCACGTCGAATGATTATTTGCTCAGGCGCATCTGTAGAGCTGTCCTCAGATTCAGTGGATTTGACACTCGGTTCTTTCTCATGCCTGACGCTTTCAGCATCCTCGGGTTTCGGACGTGCAAGGCTATGCGGAGTCCACCAGTAGACGGGGAACCGCCGTTGAATGTTGTTGATCAACAATGCCACGCAAAGAATCAGCACACATCCCAGCAGCACCACCGGAACCAAGTACCAGCCCAGTTCATAGGCCTCGGTGACGGCTAACAGAGCAGTGGCGCCGGCAGGCGGATGCGTGGTATTTGTGATAGCCATGAAGGCGACAGTGATGGCACAAGCAAGGGCTCCTCCGACTTGGGGTAAGGCATGAGCATGGGGATTCAAGGCAAAGAGCTTCCCAATCGCTACACCAATGATGCTCGCTGCCAGCTGACCCACTATCATATTTCGAGGTTGAGCGAATGGGGAATCGACGGCAGAGAATTCCAGCACCGCCGTGGCGCCCTGTCAACTCTCAGCATCGTTGCAATAGCAGGAGCCTGGAATTCCAAGGATTAGGTAACTCACAAAACTAGCAACGATAATGGGTGCATGGTGTGCCTGGAACGACGGGACATGCAAAGAGGCCTCGGCAACAACGAGGACGCCACAGAATGCTCCGATGAGGGCCCAAAAGGCAATCACCAAGTTTCCAACAGCCTTGGGCGGTTGATCTCCTCTATATCCGAAGAAATGAGAGACAGGACGAGGCAGCCAGCGCCATGGTGGAGCGGGCAGATACTGGTTCAAATAGGCATCTATATCAAAGTGCCAGCGAGAGAGGTCAAAGCCTTTCGAGGGGGGTGCTGCGTGCTGAGGTCGGTGCACCATGACTGAAGCTGTGTCACCGATGAGGCTTTGCCAAGTCAGGGGGCATAACACAACTGTGAGCCTCGTAAGTCCACGAAAATACCAAAAGTTCGACAAGTAGGTTAACGTCGGTAGACTAGGGTAACATGAAGATCTGTGATACGTTCCTCGACAAATGCTGTTCACGAGAAAGCAAAAGGATAAACATGACAAGCTGAGAGAAAAAAAGCTACATAGGCAATTGGCTACAACGGGAGTATATATGTGCTGCAAATTGGAGAAAGGCAAAGAGGAGAACTGACCTGAAATGAGGAGAAATCAACACTGGTGAGGAGAAGAGAGGGGATCACCATTCAAGTATGCCGTCCAGCGACCATCAGCACATAATTCTAGCCTGAAATTCGTCTTGGAGTGAGGTTTCTGCATGCCATCACCACACGTGTACCTATATAAGTGCCATAGCGCTGAGGAGATTTCCAAAGGTTGACCTCTCTTTTTTTCCGGCAAGCATAGCAACGCCCACATCATCGCGGAAAGGGACAATAAGTATGGGTTTTGGAGAGAGTCATCCATGTATTGCCCCTGTACAGCAGAACGCTCAGTTCTTGGGTTCTGCTTTGATGTTGCAATTGTTCTGGTTCTTCCATTCAGAGGATTTGCATTTGGTAATGGAAACTCCCGTTTGGGTTTAGCGGCTGTATGGGGAAGGAATGAGGTCATGCGATGACTGAGCGGTATTGTCAGCCGAGCGTAAAATTACGTACTTCTTTGCTGCAAACAACGATCTCTGTAGTTCTCCGTTACTCCGGCAGTTGCTGACCACCTGACAGCGGCCACCCCGAGATTTATTGGGATTTGGGGATACATATCTTGGTAGTAATCTCAGGGCATAGGATCTCAGAGGGTCATCATTGTTATCTATTTTCAACATCAATACCACGTCGCGTCCTAAATCGTACATTTGCTTCAATTCACACATCAATTGTCTTGCCAAGCTTCGAGCTTTCCTTCGCCAGCTCAATCAATCTGATGGCCTTGGCAGCCTCAGCACCACTCGCCGGGAGATCGCCTTCTCCGGCAAGAGCCCGGGCAAGCTTCCGATAGTATTCGGTGTATGTAGGTGGTTCCACTGTTGGGATGATCTCAGCGACAGGCTTGCCGTCCTGGATGGTGGTCAGGGTTCCTGTGCAAAGCATCGTTAATTCATGAGATTCCCAAAAATTGGAATCCGGATGCGACCTACCGTAGCTATCACTAGGTTCCCGGGCGTACCCGTTGTCTCCGGGTCTCATTCCAGCCTTGAGCTGGTCCTCCTGAACGTCGAGGTGGAACTATGGAAACCATGTCAGCGTTTGACTGAGCGAAAATGATCAGATCGCTCACCTTCTTGAAGCTACCCTTCTCTCCTCGAACCCAGTACCTCAACTGCTTCTCCTCAGGGCTCACGACACCCGCCTTGGCAGTTACAAGAAGTCCATTGTTGTAGTGCAACAGAACGGTGAAGGAATCCTCAAAACCGGACGTGTTCACAGCCCTCTGAGAGCCGACGAACCCAGTGATCCGATCCGGCATTCCCATGAGGTGAACAGCCTGGTCGATTAGATGGCTTCCGAGATCGTAGATGGCGCTGCCACCCGGGATGACCTTGTTCTTCCATTTCGAAGCATCGGCGGCGGGCTCCTCGGGGCGATGACGGTCAAAGTGAGTCTCGAATTCGACAACTCGGCCGAGCGAGCCGTTCTTCACCAGCTTGGTTAATGTGACAAAGTCGGCATCGAATCGGCGGTCTGTCAACCTCGAAGTCAGTTCCTGAAAGTGGATTTCTCCACCGAATTCGATTTGTCAACGTACTCTGATATACGGCCAACAACTTGTTCTGCTGCTGGGCAAGGGTAACGAGGTCATTGGCCTCCTGCGAAGTGGGAGTGAAGGGCTTTTCGCAAACAACTAGATTGGAAGTGGCATAAATCAGCGAAAGAGCGATCAAGATGCTCGAGGAAAGGACCAAACCAACCGTGTTTGCCGTTTTCTAGAGCCAGCTTCGCCAGAGTATAATGCGAGTCAGGAGCAGTGGTGATGATGACGATGTCGACCGCAGCATCCTTGACCATGTCCTCGGCGGTGCGATAAGACTTGACTCCGGGGTGGTCTTTCTCGGCATCGTCCTCGGGCTTGGGAGTGCGCTGTACAATGGCATAGAGTTTCAATTGAGGGACTTCTGTGACGAATGGAATGTGGAAGATTTTGGCGCTGAAGCCATAGCCTACGATACCGACGTTCCAGGTTTTGGAGGCCATGATGATTGTCTAGGAGCGAGAGAGGGGAAGGAACCAATAGAACAAAGCTTGTAGATTCAGTTGAGAAAGCCAGGAAGGTGATTCTGGTCTTATGCCTTATATACACAAAATGAACGCTCCGTGCCACTTTTGGCAAGCTGCTGAAATTCTCTTCCAGAGTCGTCATAGAAAAGGAGGGGGTGCGGGGGAAGGTCCTCGCGAGGGGCAACTACAGCATCCTCTGGATCGGCCGGGTGGGGGCTACTCTGTCCCGTCTCGGATTTCTGTCCGCCGGCCGATGCTGAGGTCTTCCATTCCATTCTAAGTATTCTCGGAATTAGAGTCGCGTAATTGAAGATTGCTATGACTGTGATGCCTTTTGTGATTACAAATCGCAGAATTGATTTCCAATCATGAATCGATGGCGTGCTCTATTCCTCGATTCCGACACACCGACTCACTTCAATCGCGTCCTAGAATGGCAATGTCAGCCGAATGCAATGTGTAATGGTCCACGGAATGGATTCAACCTACTTGCAAACCCTCAGGCTGATGTAGCGTGCTCTTGTACACTAAATTCGGGTTCCCGAGCACCTCAAAACTGGGCTTATCATCCTCGCCCAGGAAAGACTGGACAGTCCGCTGGGGCATGCCTTCTTTGTTATAGCTCTTGATCGGTCCCTTCTTGGCGGCCTCGCGCTTCTGCTCCACCGTGCTGCGGACATACTCCAGATACGGGGGGTTACCGGGCCACAAGACGTTATCCGCGGCCAGAACCGATACATTGGGAACAATCATGCCGAGCTGTTCGCAAAGCATCAGGTCCGTGGTGTACGCGGGCTTGTAGTGATCAATGAACATGAGCTCGATCTGCTTGACCTCGCCGCTGGTGAACAGCTTGTGCAGGGACTTGTCACTTCGACCGACGATGATGCGGACGAAGTCCCGCAGACCGGCCAGCTCGATCAGCATGTTGGCGATGGCGGCATATTCCGGGTTCAGTTCCAGACTGAAATAGCGCTTGCCGCCAGCTCGGCGGACGGCATCGCCGAACAGTATGGCCGAGTAGCCTACATAGCCTCCCAATTCGATCATCGTATGTGGCTTGAGTTCAGCAATTAGATCGGTAACGACCTTGCCTTTGGCGGCTCCCACATTCATGAAACTATATTTCTCTTCGAATTTGTGGATGAGATCCAGAACCCGTTGCGGGTTGCCTCTGATCTCATCAATGTCGGGTTGTTCGTAGATGAAATGCAGGAGCTTGATCTCTTTCCCACTCTCATCCTGTACATGGAACGGTGTCAGGTGTTCATCCTAGCACAATAAATGTAGCGAATAAATAGCTTACCTCTCCAGGACGAGGGTGACGCTGAGTTTGATCCGCCATTATGAACTATAAGATAGGATTGATGTGAAGGACGAGGTCAAGTTTATTGAAGATAGTAAAAGTTAACGGGTAAACAAGCTGCCTTTTATTCGAGCACTTCACTCGAAACCCGCGTTTACCCATACCTAGTGGCGATGGAATAATAGACTCGGGCTTCTACCAGAACCAATGGAGACAGACGTTAACTCCGAACAATTCGTACATCGGCAAACTAGACGCTACTAACAAACACCATTGCGTGGATTTCGCACGTCATGACATGAAGTGGAAGCCTAAGACTATCAATATCCACTATCCTGCATCCAGGAATTGTAGGCTACAACAATCTTAGTGATGCTGGTCGTTATCAGTTGCGCGGACTTAGTACTCACCTCTATACCCGTCACAATTTACCTCAAATGGAAAAGAACCCCGAGCATCCAGTGACGCTGATGTCACAGAGTCAGATTGTCAAATTGGTTGAGTGCTGACTGACAAGTATCGCATGAAACATACAGCCTTGATACTCGGCAATCGGACATTGAGGTAATAGGTAATTCGGATTTTAGACCCTGTTATCGGGCTGTCCAGGGTTTTTGGAATCTTTCAATTGCCGTCTGTAGCCTCTTGCTAATCCATGAACTACTCCGTATCCCTGTTTCACCTGTTTTGAAGTTCCAGGCTCGTCTATCGTCGCAATTAGTAATGCCCACCTGAGCATTGATAACCCAGACGGGGGTCTAGGCATCTACCATTTAATAGCGCATACGTTGTGACTCATTCATCAAAGATCTGGAAGATCGTTCATGGAAGTCGAGCTTGGAAATGGCTTTGAGAATGCTTAGCATGACAGATGTGCTTATACAGTTGATGCCACCTGGTAATCGACGGCTGACTTGGACCATGGGAAACAGTCCAAAAAACCAACAAGATGTACCAAGACCCTGGGTTCAGCTATAAAATCATGCAACAAATTTTGAATTCAGAATAAACAAGATCAATGAATAGAGACAAGATCCGATATAACACGTCAAAGACAACAGGATGACAGCTACACCAAGTAGCTGTAACCCTGCAGGGTGACGTGGTTACAGCTGCATTCCGAAGCGAGGGGTCAAAATGTACACAAGAACCAGCCACGCCGAGAGAATCAGAGACTGCGAGTTCCAACGCTTATTCTCAACAAAATGGCCGTCAGGACGATGCGACGAGCCTTTGGCTCCATACCAAAGCAGCAAACCCTTCATTTTGTCCAAAGCCTGGTACGGATGCTGATCCATCTGCTGTGGGTCGCCGTCGCTTTCGCACTACTACCCCTCGATAATGCCATTCTTTCGGCAGTTTATGTCGTCGGGTTTGCTTCTCAGCTTCTGCCGGGCTCGTGTCCGAGCTATCAGAGAAAGACAGCGTTGAGAAATGTACACTTCTATCCCAAGACCGTCCTGGTGACGGGCATAGATACCCCGCCCGGACTGGCGATGGCACGATCCTGGTACTACAAAGGCCACCGGGTCGTGGGAACAAGCATCGCGGATTCCGCCATCCGATCTGGCGAGAGCTTGTCCCGGACGCTCGCAGCTTTCTACAATATCTCCCGGTCGCAATATATTTCACAACTGCTAGACGTCATATACAGGGAGAAAGTGGACATCTGGATGCCGTGTTCGGACAAGACTACCGCCATGGAAGATGCGATGGCCAAAGAAGTGATTGAGAGTCGGACCAATTGCAAATGCATACATCTGGACACCGAACTTGCGGACAGGTTCAGTCGTCCAGAGTCTTTCATTCAGTATCTCGTCGAGAAGGACCTACCTGTGCTGGAAACCCATCAGGTGCAATCGCGCGCCTCTATCCACAGTATACTCCATCGATCTCCAACCAAGGTCTATCAGATGCGCAGAGCGAGCTCCATCGCAGCTGACAGCAAGGTCATTGTGCTGCCGAAGCGAACGCTCAGCCAGACTTACACCGAAGTCAGCGAGATTCAAATCTCCAAGGATAGCCCCTGGATGCTGCAGCAACAGACCCGCTTGGGGACATACTTTGCCGAAATGCTTGTGGTTCGCGGTTTCGTCGAAGCGATCAGGATCCGTCCCTCGGATCAGCAGTTGGGCTGGGGCCGGTCCCGTCTGGACGAAGCGCTCGCCATCGCTATCCGCAAACTCATGGATAGATTTGCGATGAAAGGCGGACCGCGCTTGACGGGGCTACTCTGCGTCAAGTTGATGATCGATGAGGTGTTTAATACAAACTCCGTGCGTCATGTCATCCACATTGCAGGCTGCACGCAAGGCGCAGCGGCCATCAGGCATCTCTTGCAAGATGCATCCTGCTCGATTCCTTCTGGCTGCGTAACTGTGTTGGCTGCACAGACTAACGGCATGTCTACACGCTTGTCAGAGTCGAGCAATACAGGGATCCGTAGTCTGATGTGCAAGGCACCGTCCCAGCGATCGAGATTTTACGAGGCGCTCAAGACTCACGAATGCGGGCGACTTGTGTTAGTCGTTTCGCGGGCAATGCAATTACTCGACCGTTTGACTTACGAGGCAGGTCAGCTCGTTTTCTGGAAGAACTGGCGATATTCTTCTTTCGACCCTTTACCGTGGTGGTGGGATGCTCATATCTATCAACCAGCTAGACACTTTGGAATGGCTTTCAGTGTTTTCACTGAAGCTCATGGTAAAACGGCTTGAAGTGAGCTTCTTGCACCTATCTCTTTCATATGTTCTTGATTAGCATTTTTGCGGGTTGGTACCCTACAGGACCATCGGGCGGCGTTTTGGAGCTGTTGATGAATGTTGCAGATCAAAGGAGTTTCGAATATGAGGTGCAATAGTCGTCTCATGTAAATGGGATTCTATCACTGGAGATATCAAAGCAGTAATAACGCAGGGTACTCACACTGGAGAGGGTATCTCTTGGGTTAGATCGTTATGGGTACATCTTATGCATCCTACCAAAAAGCTCACATCTTACATGTGGAAGCCAAGCGTGGCTGAAATAACACCCATGTTTCCATGAATAGAACGGTTTCCTAGGAGAATTTGGGTACAAAGTTCTGGCCTAAGGACACGCTTCCGTTCGCTCCGTCGCCTCTGAAGATCCACTTGAAGCGAAAAGCATCGTCATCCAATCGAGGCGTAATTCAGTCGACCTAGGTATCAAGCTGGCTTGGATTCAACCGTGGACCGACAGTACGTCAGGTCAAGAGAAATCACCATTGTTTGGACAAGCCGTCTAAACAATCAGGAGTTAAAGGCTCCACAAATACTCCGTAGAGCGGCGCAGTCGTGTCGCCAGATGTGATATAACCTAATGAGGCGCAGAGGCTACTCAGCAAATACAGGTCAATTCAGCATCGAGAGATCGAATAGAGTACGGAGTAGATGACAAAGTTGATTTCTCTCAGTATAAACATGCATAAAAATATACGCTGAGAGTACCGTAAGGTATCCGTGGAATACAGGATCGACGCATGTCGGGTAATTAACATATAGTTGGACAGAGGCACGAGGCAGAATAATTCCTAGGAACATTAATGCGTGATATCCACCAGGACCAGATTCCAGCTCATCTTCATCTCTTACACATTCTGTATTATCCCCTATCAAATCCTTTATCAGCTAAACCATCACTATATCGCAATTTGCGACTTGGTGCACACTCTCCCCTTGATATCGTCAGTTGGGTCTCGACCTAGTGTCCGCAGTCCACACGGCATCGGTCGGGTTGCCCCGTTGCGCTGCGCATTCCGAGCATAAACAAGCGCACTTGATCATTTTCTCTGCATTCCACAACGATCTTCTCCCTTTTTTTTTTTTGTCTTGATACTTTATCGGGAGTAAGAAAGAGATCGTCAAGGACATCAGATATCTATTTCTGGGATTCAGGTGTCTTCTCTCGAATTACTTCCTCTTAGGAAGTTCCATCAGCGTCAGCTCCCCAGTCCTCTCTTAAACCCGCAAACATGCGAGTATCACGACCTTCCTTCAATCCCGGACGAACGAAAAACCTCATTCATGGGGTACAAGGGTTTATTATCTTTCTCGCATGGGCTTTGACCATTGCCGTCTTCACAAAAGGTGATGGGATCGATGGGCGGTCAGCCTGGTACTGGGCCTTGGTGAGTCTCAGTCCTTGATTGTACTTCCAGCAAGGAAGGAGCGTGGACCTTGAAGCTAATATGTCGGCGCCAATAAAGTGTTGGCTCAGTATCCCGGGTTTGATTTACCTCGTCGCAGTGCCAATGTGGCCACGCGCACGACGATTTGGAAACGTCTATGCCTTCGCTACAGTCGACTGTTTATACGCGATTCTGTGGTTCTCTGCGTGGATTTGCGTCGCAAGCTATGTCGCACAGGGAAAGTCCGAGGGCAGCGATACGAATAAAGATGATAAGAAGAGCGGCTGCGACGCATGGAAGTACGGAAGTGCCAGCAAATGCAAGATTAGTACGGCGACTGTGATTCTGGGGGTTGTGATCTTGTAGGTTTCCTTTTGAGTCTCATATTTCGCGCGACATCCTTGCTAATGCGGCTCGACTGCAGCCTTCTCTTTGTTGCAACCGGTTGGATGTCCTTCCGCAATGTCATGCATTTTCGCCGAACCGGTACCCTCCCCGATGCTGTCTCCGATCCTACATTCGCTGCACAGAGCAAGGCTGCTTTCTCCTCAAACCCTGCGCATGACTTTGAAGAAGAGGAGGATGATTTCCGCTCCGGACGTGTTGGAATGGGCGCTTCTGTTCGTAACGATCAGGACGAGGATTATGCCCTGCTTCACCAAAGCGAGATAGACGACCTCGGAAATGGCAACGGACGAACTGCAATGCATGGTGCCTATGATCCCACTGCTACCGGATCAGGGAGTGTGCTGCATGACTACAACACCAGCTACGGCGGCGCGCACGGGCAACACTATGCTCAACCGTCTGAATTCAGTTCTACCCTGAGTGGCTATGGACGTTAAAGACTGTCCTTTGGTCTCGACTCATGCGCATTGGCTTTGTATTCTGG